CTTTTAATATTTGTCAGAAAACTTAAAGCCTATCAATGACTTTTATAAATCATCTCATTGACTAAATTCCATAATGAAATTCGAGAGTCTACTTCTAATAAAATTTGATTTTATTGCGTTTTAAGCTGTTTGAATAATAAATAAGGATAAACAATTTTCATTTTTAGATTTTGATAAAAGATGTGTATTTTTGAATGAATATATTTTTAACAAAAAGGCGTAAGTTGGCATTAGAAAATATTTTCTGATTATGCAAATTTTAACTTTTTAAAGTGAAAGCTTTTGACTTATGCTCTTAAATTGATTATTTTTATCTTAATTTCATTTAAAACTTTTAGAGAATTTAAATTTATTTTGCAAAAGGTTTATTTTTACCCTTAACTAGGATTTTTATAATTTGCCTTTTTTAAGTTAATGAAGCATGGCCTTCATATAAAGCATTTACAAGATCCAAAAATTTTCTTTAAAAAAAGAGTTTTATGAATTTCAACTACTTAGAAGCCAATCAGTTTCAGTCCAAACATATTAATGGCATTGCAGTTAGCGCAAAATGTAAGTCAAATCAGATGTCACAATTTTGAATTCCAATGGTATAACCCAACGACTGAAGTTTCCAACCATCTACTTGCAACATATTTGATGGAAAGTACCTTTTCAATAGGCTTATATAACACGTTCCGTGGGAAAATTTAGTGTGAACATTTTAAATAACGAATAAAGGGTACATTTACCGATTTTGTACATTGCAGTTTCTTAAAACATTAATGCATAAAGTGGGGTAAAGTTACCATATTTGAAGAAGATAGATGGAAGAAGGTTATTTCATAAGAAATCGAGATGCAAAATATGGGAGGTTGATTAATAGTACGAAGACTCTAATTTGATACCAAATAAAGCTTAGTTATGCCAACTCTGTGAAATATTGGAATAGCAGATTAAACTACGTAGAAAATAATAGCATGGCACATTTTGATGATGGACACTAAGAATTTCTATATTAATAATGATAAAAGTCTTGTCTTGCCCAATGATTTAAATATTTGACTTTTATCCCTCACACAAATTTACATACCTTAATTAATTTCAAATCGTCTTAAGTCGCTAGTGTAATAGAATTACAGCCGAAGTGAATAAATTGGGACCAAAGATTTTAATATTGCATGGGATCTATAGAATGAAAGAAGAACATGCGTTCCGTTGGACTGTGTGATTTAAGTGGGCACTGTATGTAGGCAAGAGTGTCTTAACACACACACATAAGCACACACATGAATGGTTCATATGTTACAGGTTGATATACGTCACAAATATCTGTTATTATTGATAGGATGAAATACTTCAAATGAAAATTTCTTATTCTATATGCTTCAGTTTGGAATGAATCCCACAATTTGAATGAGTCCGCTATCAATCATTGATCTATATCATGACGTTTTCTCACTATAAATCAATGATTGTTCCTTAAGGTGATATGTAATTACAAACTTGCCGTACTCCCTTTGAAGCGTTTTGACCTGCGTTAAATTAAATGTTCCCTCTTCATTTTTTGCGTATATTTTAATGGGTAAATAAACATATCTGGCATGTATCTTAAAGAAAATATGACCAAAACACGAATGTTATCGCGCTTAAACGGAAATATATTGGTAGTAAGCAAAATGTTTGGGGAAACATTTTTAGAAGTCTAAATTACTAATTTAAGACCCGTAAATTGAGGTGTACGATAGACATACCTCCATGTGGTTCACCACGGGTAACGTATACTCATACGCCAAAAAAGTCTATAATCCGGCAGATGACTTCAATTTAACGTGACCCAACTCTATGTTAAATTCAACCACTTCCACAGTACTCACTTTACCCTTTTTTCTACCTTTATGCCTGTTTCTTTTGCATCTTTACATCACTCTTCTGTTCTCACTTTGATGTTTTTCCTCTCTGTGAATGGCTAACGAAAACTACCAAAAAAGGCCTGTCATTTGATACAAATAAATAGTCCCAGTAAAATGATTATTTCACCGATAATAACATTTTTTTTGTTAGTTTATTAATGATTTAATATTTTTATAATGAACGAAATGAGACATGTAATATTTAATGGAATTAAAGCGTTAGTATATATTTGGGTTTAGAATTTGGCCCAGGTTTTGGTAAATACATGTAAATAACATCCAATTTTTCATAATTGTTAAATGATTTCATCTGAATTCGTTTTGAACTAGCAAATACAAACCGTTCAGCTTTCTGAAATTGGAATACTGTTGCTTTCTCCCAAATAATCATCGCTCAATAAGGAAGGAATACTACTAAATTTAATGCAAGAATATTAATAAGTGCCTGCATGTGAAATAGATGCAAAAAGTTACACCTTAATAACAGCAGAATACAAACAATCAGGATCAAAGTCTTCATATAACCACGCAATCAAACTATGCTGTTCTCAATGCATTTCAGCGAATTTGCTAAAAGTGGTTGCTTAAAAAGCGGCTAATAATATTAGTTCATTTCATGAAAAAAGAATATTTCTAATTATAGTTTTAATTGAAATCTTATTTCTAAGCGAGGAAATTTAAAAAAACCCTATGTAATTCGAATTCAAAAACTTTTAAGTTTTTTCCGCAACTGGACGTTACTTCGAGCAATGTGCAAATAGGGTGTAAAACCCATAGTACAAAAATAGCATAGATTTATAATTATTAATGCTAATAAGTCTTGCTGAAAGTATATGTATTTAATTATTTGGTATTAATTAATTAAATATACTTTAAAAAACCTTTCCTAACTTATAAAACGTCATTTTTATTTCTTTGAAATAATAATATAATAGTAAAAGAGCTTTAACGCTTCGTTAGCATTAAAGATTTTAAAGATAATTCTTTGAGAAATGATATTGGAAAAATTTTCTATTTCATAAGGTGTCCTAACAACATTCATCAGTTCTCAATATTACCAATGACTAAATATTTGTTAAAACCTAATATTTTTTTAAATACACTAAGCATTTAAGTCTGTTAATATTATTTACACCCGTCATAAATTGATGAATCATAATATGCCAAATCTTTAAACGTTATAAGTAGAGTAAAAATTTCGATTATTTTTTGTACTTTCTTCATCAATGCTTGGAAATGCCATTTTTCGAATTCATTCAAAATTTCAATATTAAAATAGCCTTATTGCATTTGATATTTTACTCGAGTTATGGAATATTTATTAAATAATTTGAAATTGCTTTTAATATTGATGAGTTTTTATTGATTAATATTATTTAATCATGAAGGATTGGTCACGTCTTTTCACTTTGGAAAGCACGTGACTTGTGAGATCTCAAAATAGCAGTGCTGAGTAGTTTTTAAGCTAGCAGACCTCACTCAAGGTTAACACAAGGTGATTGATGGACTTTTAAAAACTTTTGTCACGCAATATTTTCAACCAACTGCTGCTAAATTTATATAATTATAAATATTTTCATCGATCTAATTTTAGCTGGATGTGAATGAAACTAAGTCAATTTTTCAATCAATTTCAGTCATTCTGAACATAAGTTCATCTCTGAATATAATAAATTCTTGGTTAAAATTAATGAAATGTTAATATTTGATTAGCTCCATTTTTCTTATCGCTTTAAAAGAGAAACTTAATTTACTTCAATTTGAACGAAGAAGGATCCTTGAAGTCCTAAATCTAATATCGGTTTCTCCTTGACTCCTCTCTCTTTACTAAGTTATTTTCCCTAAATTAAGTCAATAGAAAAGTTAGCTTTGAATGCCACGGTAAATATTTGACAACTGAAAACAGATTCCAAGATTCAGGAACAGTTAACCCCAACTCCGTTGTTATTTAAAACAAGATTTTAAATGTAGGAAATTGAATAATATTAAAATAAATCGTTTTACAATACCATATCCCTATATTTAGAAATACTTAAACTAGACATTATGAGTGCGCCCAAGTAAGATGTTTTGTTAAATTCTTATTGATAGGTGTAAATTTGTTACTTTAGCTTCCAAATGAAGTGTGTGGTTGTAACTACTGAAGCCAACTTGAAGAAAATCGCGATCGTATGAATCGGGAGGTCAAATTTGCGTATGGATTTTGTTTATTAGTAGGAATATATCCAACCTAAATTTAAAAAAATGGACGAAACCTGACACTTTTGGTAACCTTATTACTTTCCCACCTATTTATATGCTTTACTTTACCTGATTTCCGAAATGATGCGCTTACGGGTAAAAATTTAGCTTTCTGATGTGAGAGTCATTATAATTCTAAATATCAATCGGTCGACTTTCTAAATCAATCATATCTACGGGGTAGCAAACTATATTCAGATTTGATTATTAGAATCAGAAAATAGAAAAACCTAATATTTCATAAAAATACCAAATGTGATTAAATAAGGTCAAGATAATGGTCAATTTAGACAATACACAATCATAAATTGACTGAAACGTCAACAGTCCTAATAATGCAGTGATATTTCGAGATTAAGAATGTTTTTTCGCCTTTATTAACACTATTTAAATTTAAATTTTGAACAAATGAATAAATTTTGAAATGTTATTACGAATTGCGAAATTACTTATTGATAAATGAGAATGGGTTTTACGTTGACTTACAGGCTTTATTCTCATTAACTAAAGTAATAACTAGATTTATTTATTTAAAGATGACTGAAGATGGTATAGAAATTCAACTGAAAAATTGCCAAGTTTCCAACATGCCACGCAAATCTATAATGAACACAAGGAACAATAAAGAAATTCTTGTCACTGCTTTAAAACTCGTCAAAATATGATGTGCTTAGTAAGGTTTAGCCTTTCGTCATAATTTAACTGTCTAATTTCTGATTGGTCAAATTTGGTGAGTCATTTTCAACTTCCTAAATGAATTTATTTTTATTGCGCGATAGACTTACCTCCACGTGGTGCACCCTGGACAACGTATCTTCGTACGGCAAAAAAGTCTATCATTCGGCATTTTTTTGACTTCTATTTATTATGATTAGCTTGAAACAAGGCTATAAGAGAAATCGCCCTCGTCAGGGCGAATCACAAGGTCTTCAGATCCTCCAGTGGAATGTTGGAGGGATGTCACAGGACAAAGAGATCCAAGTCCAGAAAATCCTGCAATCCTATGATGTAGACGTTTTCACAATTAAGGAAGCAAACATTTCGGATGACAAACTGAAGTTCTACCAATTCCCAGGTTACACCCTGTACAATCTACCTCAAACGGCGAGTTGCAAGTGGAATTCTAACTGGAGTAAAAGAAGGAATTTGCAAGTGGAATTCTGACTGGAGTAAAAGAAGGCCTTAGGTTACACCCTGTGCCTTCTACCTAAATACCGGCAAGTTGTTACACCCTGTAGAAATCTACCTAAATACCGGCAAGTTGCAAGTGGAATTCTAAACCGGAGTGAAAGAAGGCCTCACCTCACACTACAACCTAATCACCTACCTAAATACCGGCAAGTTGCAAGTGGAATTCTGACTGTAGTAAAACAAGGCCTTACATTAAATTACGATCTAATCAAGAGTATGGGCTCGACACAAGACATAGGTGAAATAATCAGATTAAATGTTTGGAAATGTCAAAACCACTTCAAGATATATGCAGTCAATAATCCACCCCAGAATAGTCCAAACTTGATCTTCCGAACATCTCACAAAAACTGTAGTACTAGGCGACTTCAACGCCCATTCCTCCAGATGGGGCTATAAGGATACAAACAAAATTGTAAAGAGAATCGAAGACTTGCTAAACAGCAGCCCTCTGGAACTTATTTACGGCAATGAGGATCCTGCTACATATTTGCACTACAATAGAACCGGAACAACTCCTGACTTACTCTTGGCTTCAAGCGACATCAGTGAGCTTACATGCCGCAAAATAATTGACGATCCTGGTTCTGGTCACAAACCAGTCATTGCTAGTATTACCATCGGCAGCATAAGCATGACAAGAAAAGTGCCAACTAAGCTACCATGGAACTTCAAGAAGGCTGACTGGCCTAGATTCACAAACCTTTTAGAGAATGAACTTTACACAAGTCCCCTCAACTTCAACCAACACCCTGACAAATATTGCAATGATATCACGGATATTATGAATAGATGTGCAAAGAAAACTATTCCCAGAGGCAAGACTAAA